CGTGCAGGCCCACTTCAGGCATCTTATCAACTTTCGATGCATCCTGTTTCACTAGGCAATTCTCCAAAAAATGAACGTTCTTAGTAAGCCATGGGATGGCCTTTTTCAATTTTGGACTAATTTCGGCCCGCTCTATTCAACACTTATGAGACCTCTTTCTTTCTCCGGGTAGCTGGTACCCTTGAGTCGAACACTAGGGAGGATATTATCGTTTCCGGTCAAGGGCTGAAGAGCCATTTCGGCCAAGCGCGGGGTGCCATCACGCCCATTCTGGCTACACGGGGGCAAGGGTCCTGGTCGATCCGGGGGCCGGTAAAATGATAAATCATATCGCATTGGTCCCCTCCCTGACGTGAGAGGCCTTCTAACCCGTGCAGTTGGCCCCGGATCGACGCAAGAGCCATCACTGACTCAACAAGATCCCTGATTGCCGAAGATGGTCCAACCATTGACACATATAATTCAGTTTGTCTTGAGCAACCAAAGTTTCGACGCCTGGACCCGCAGTTCCCTTAGGCAACCCAGCGGCGGTCCAATTTCCATGACTGGAATAAACTCCACCATTCGGTACTAGAGGCCCTGACTGACGCAGGGCCTCTATTGTCTCCATTGTCTTCAGCCATTGTGAGCCCCTGACCGAAACAGGAGCCTCACATTGTTGAAGGGGCTCCCTCCAATGCAAATCGCGGGCCTGACCTTGTATCTACATAGGAAATGGACCCTTAGAGCTCAGACCGACAAGGAGTCGACTTTCCCGTGTTCGTGATCTTTAGCCAAAGCAAAGGCACAGGGGCTCCCAATTGGTGCAAGAGGTCCTCTAACTGACATTTTAGATCACGGCCCTACGGGCGTGGTCTCCTAACCTACAGTAAACCCTTCGGGCCCCCTAGCTTTCCAATCGAACCCTCGACCTTGAGTGTCGAGAGACCCTTTGGGCCCTCCTTTGGTCCTCCTCAAACACGGTTCCATGCTGACTCTAGCCCACTTACCGACACAGGACCCCTGTCAGGCACTGGAGCCCCTGACCGACACAGGAGCCACTCATTGTGCCAGGGACACAAACATTGAAAATCGCGTATCCGGCCTTGTTCCTGCTTGGGAAATGGGTCCCTTGGGTTCAGACCGACACGGAACCGACTGTTTGACTTCGTGTCGAGACCCCTTGTAATAGGGATAGCGGGTCATAATACGACGGCCCTAATAAGGAGGTTCTAATAAGATGGCCCAAATACAGGCTCTCTGAATGCAATTCAGATCACAGCACAACGGGTAGGATGCCGGTCCGGGTCCAATTGGGCCCCTGAGCTACAGTCCCGAGAGGAGGCCCACTTGTCGATACAGGACCCCTGTAAGGCGCCGCAGGTCCCCGACCGACACAGGGCCCAGATCACTGATTTAGGGACCCAGACCAACGTAAATCGTGGACCCGGCATTGCTCCTGCTTGGAAAATGGGCCTCCGAAGTTCAAACGATATGAAGCCAACATCGGCGTCGGTGGTCTCTGTCTGACATAAACACCGCGTTGTCGTAGAGGCCCTCAGTCGGTGCAAGAGGCCCTCTGAGTGATATTTCAGGCCCGGGTCCTACGGGCTGGGATCCTTCACGTGACCTACAGTCATGCCGCATACCCTCCACACGTGACCTACAGTCAGTCCGCATACCCTCCACACGTGACCTACAGTCAGTCCGCATGCCCTCCAATCTGGCTCTTGATCATTGGTTTCAGTGGGCCCCCGGGTCACTCTTCGGGCATCACCGAACACTGCGCTTGGTCGAATCCGGCCCGTTGCCAACACAGGACCCCTTTTCAGCACTATGGCCCCTGACAGATACAGGGGCCCCGACCAGTGTAAATCGCTGGCTGTGATTTGTCGTTGCTTGGGAAGCGAACCCTCAGGTCCATACCGACACGGAGCCGGCAGTGCGGTACTGATGGTGCCTGGCTGATATACAGGCCCCTGGCGACTCAGGGGCCCTCAATCGGCGCAAAACGCCATCCGATTGTCATCTGAGTGCCCGTTCCTGCAGATCCTGGAGACCCTGAAGAGGGCTCCGATCAGCCCTTCGTGCCCTTAAGCCTTCCAATCCGGCCCTTAATCGTGGATTCCTGCAGGCCCTTGAGGGTCTCTTCAGACCTCCTCGAATGCTGCCTCCGACCGGCTCGGGGCCCCTTACCAACACAAGGCCCCCTGTTAGGCACTGTGTGCCCCTTACAGATGCTGGAGCTCGACCAATGTAAATCGCTGACCTCGGCTTTGTCCTTCTTGGGAAATTGACCTCCAGGCTCATGCTGACGCGGAGCCGACTGTGCGGTACTGATGGTGTCTGACCGACATATAGTCCGTAGCCCTCTAGCTAGTGTTGAAGTGCCCGGCCCTGCGGGCCGGGCCCCTAAGCACGAACTCTAGCTGGCCTTTCGGGTCCTTCGAGCCCTACAATCAGGATCTTAATCGTTGGTCCCGAGGGGCCCTTCCGGCCCGACGAAACCAAGAGGAGGAGAGGGGAGGGGGGGGGGGGGGCACGTGCCCCCTTGCCTCCCCCGTCTGCACCACTGTGTGCGTGAACAACGTGCGCTATGCAATAACCGGTTCATCTCTGCTGCCCTAGCCAGACCTTTCACGCGTATTCACTGATCTTCCTGCTAAGGCTTACTACAAACTGTCGCTAACGCATCCAGCTTCGCCTCGTATCGAACACAGGCCTGGCCTTATGCAACGTTACTCGCGCCATATCGGGACCCCACAATGTGACTGCCGGCTGTCGTTGAAGTAAGCGGCTCGTAGGACCAGTCACTAATCACAGTGTGTCCCACTGCTATTTAGGGAATCACAACTCCGCCAAAACAAAGCGTCGCTTCTGGGTCAATGCATCAAAAACCGCCAAAGCAGCCGAATCAATTGCATGTCGCATGCTTCTGCAACACAATTTACAAAGACTCAGTGAATCTGAAATCCTGTCATCGCTTTGTTTTCTGAAGTCCACCACCAGTATTGGCCTCGCGCTCCAGTACGCTTCGGCTTACAAATGAGGTCAATTCAGAAACCTTACGCTGTAATGCGGCAAAAGCTGGATTTCTGCAGTTAGCAGGTCAGAGGGGTGGGCCAATTGATGGCCGGCACATTCGTTCGACATTCCAGACACTGCTGGTGGAGTTCGGAGAACGGAGACATGGCCTAGGATTTCAGGTTCGCTGAGTATTTGTAGATTATGTCGCAGAAGCATGTGACACGCAACTGATTCGGCTGCTTTGGCAGTTTTTGACGAACTGACCCAGAAGCGACGCTTCATTTTGGCGGAGTTGTGATTCCTTAAATAGCAGTGGGACACACTGTGATTAGTGACTGGTCCTACGAGCCGCTTACTTCAACGACAGCCGGCAGTCACATTGTGGGGTCCCGACATGGCGCGAGTAACGTTGGATTAGGCCAGGCCTGTGTTCGATGTGAGACGAAACTGAACGCGTTAGCGCAGTTTCTAGTAAGCCCTTAGTAAGAAGATCAGTGAATGCGCGTGAAAGGTCTGGCCAGGTCAGTAGAGATGAATGTTTCTTACACAGAAAGACAATGGTGTTCACCAACACCAGGCAGGGTGTGGGTGCTCTTGTACAGACTTGAAATCTCCAACCATCTGAGTTGACGCTCCCCGCGCTCCTGCTCCTGTTTCGTGGAAGGTTATACGCACATTGCACAATATGAGTAAGTTAGAGCCAGGACACCAGCGGACGCAAGGCTGGGCAAGATTACAGCCCTGGCTTCGGCTCTGAAAAAGGTTCGGGGTTTGGTTTCGACGAACCCTGACAGGCCACGGCTACTGGATGAGCACATACAGTGCAGGTGACAGATGTGACGAATTCGGAAAAGAGAATGCTGGTTTGCTGCGTGCTTTCAGGCTGCGTACCAATGCCGGAGTAATAAAGAACCAGCACGCGAAAGTGATTCATGGCAAGTCCTCACAAATATTGCCACTTTGTATGGCGCATTGTTTTGTTGTCAGGCGCATTTTTTCAATGCGCATGGACACACACACACAGACACACACACACACACACACACACACACACACACACACACACACACACACACACACACACACACACACACACACACACACACACACACACACACACACATATATATATATATATACATATATATATATATATATATATATATATATATATATATATATAGTGTATATAGCACTGTTTTGATGCACGTTCATACTTATTACTTTCGTATCATTTGGTCGCCTTGTTGCGATGAAGTTTCATGCGCCCACTTCTTTGAAGAAGTGTTGAATAATTGTAGCCTTTGACGCAGTCTGCGACGTTATCAGCGACCAGAAGGTCAACACCATGAAATATGCCGTGGGCGTCCATCAACGCGTATCTCATATTCCCTGAATCAACCTGATCAATGCACGAGATATTCAAAGGAAGTCGTTAGGCACTTTCTGCAAGCTAATAGAAAGTTAAAAATAGGCTGCAAGAGTAATCCAGGCTCCAAAGGCTTCTCAGAGGGGTCTGACAGAGGCGCGCTTAGCCGACGCGTAGAGGAGACGCCAGACAATACTGCCTTGAAAGAAGAGAGCATGGATGAAGGACGATTGGGGCAATCAAGATGCCCGACGCGATTGCAAGAACCATCAGACAAGAGCAGCACAGCCGCGGCAATCAAATGCTTCCGAGCTTAATAGGCGCACTGGCGTGGCCCTTAGAGTCTCGCTATGGTTAGGTTTTGCAGGGTGTGGCGAGCACAGCGCAGAAAGCGGAGAGCGCAGCAGAAGGATGTCCCAGCAGACCACGCCCGTATTGCGAGGCATCCATCCTCTCGTTAGCCAGCCACTCTGAATGGGCGGCGACCGCTTCGTCAGCCGCTGACACTACCATCAGGGAGATGTGGGAGGAGGGGGAGGGAAGGGGGAGGGGGAGACGCAACGCCGGAGCGTGCAGCGCTGGCCCGGCGTCAGCGGCGCAGAGCAGTCCACGCGCCGACGCGGCCGACGCAGGGCGCTGACAGCTCGGACCGCGTGCTGGCACGCTCCGACGGGGTCCGTGCGACGGAGGCGCGCCGCAAGCAGCCAGCGAGCAGTGACCATGGTTGTGGAGGAGGTGGGTCCGGTGGACGGGCGGCGGGAATGGTCTGTGCTTGGGTTGACACCATGGGGCGTCGCTGTCCCCTGGCTTCGCTGGCGTGTGGTCAACGCCAGCTTGGACGACTACCTCGGCTTTCTGCCCGCCCTGACCATGCTCTGCTCCGATAGATACCGCCTTACTAAAACCGCAGGGCGACAGCAAATTGCTTTCCGTACATATGTCACGGTTTCGGGGCGCTCGGTATACATTAATCTGAATGTTCAGCTATTTCACGTACTTTGCATCTTGCAACACCCAGATCTTCGTGCGCTTGAATCAGCTTGTTCATCACGAGCTTGAACAACATGTGTCTGGCACGTCGATTTCCCTCGATGCTTTTTGTATGTATAGTCATCTGCGCACATTTAGACCGCGTACGCATGCTTTTTCAAATCCCAGTGCTCTTAATGTAGATGGTGTTTTCTAATGCGCTCAGATACGGTATATCCGGTACTTGTGTGGCAATTTTATGAAACGGTTTGCAGAGAAAGGATAGGGATCGAGAAGCTTGCCAGATATACTTCGGTTCATACGCCCTGGTCCAATAACGCAATTTCAATGCAAGGTACTTTTCTCAAAAAATGTGGCGTGCCATGCAATATCATTGCATGATTTTGCGCTTTTTGCGCCTGGTTCTCCTGACTGGTTGCCAATTAGCCGTCTCATAAGACACACGAGAACGATGCTGGGGACGTGAGTCCACGTGCCCGCCACACATTGGCTCGAAACCGATACTGCGCTGAGCGAGATGTTAGTCTAATCATCGACACCTTAGATCAGAACCGGTATGCACTCATGTCAGGCGTTTAGTTTAAAGGGAATGTTTCACATCTGAAGATATTAAAGCAATCATTTTGTATGATGAAATTAGTTCACTTAGAGTTTCTGGTATACTTTAAAATGGAAAAGACCGTTCTAGACAACACCATTTCTCTGTTTAGTAAATGTGTTCCTCAATACGTTATTGTTTGATTACGTCATCTTACCCCACACAACGTTAATGGACAGCCAGTTGACGGTCGTCGTATCTGGAAATCGTGCTTACGAACGCCACATAAGAATGACTCGACAGTTATATTTTTTGGCCTTGAAAGCTATATGACCAATGAAATGGCAGGATTTGAATGTCATTAATATGGGGTCGTGGGTGCCTGGGTGACCTTGTAACAGTTTCCTTTAAATAGTCTGCACATCTTCGCGGATCAACAGCTCTGAAACTACAGTGAGTTAGGCCTCAAAAAGCGCAGGGCTGTAAGCTGCACTGAATGATCTTCAAGATGGCTTGTTCACTTCAAAACCCCATGCAAATGTCGAACACTGCCTTTAAGGGGTTTTTCCACTACCGTCACACATCCATTGATTTCGGATACCGCCATGTATTAGGCTGAAGTAGATGAAGAAATGTCCACTGGACACGTATCAGCATTGATTTAGATCAATACTTGACCAGAACCAGTGGACTGACAAAACTGGTGCGTCTGACAATTCGAGCGGCGAATGTGGTCGTGTGTGTTCTTTTTCAGTTGGTGTTGAATGGTGCTGAAATGTGACGGCCCGGATGATCGGACGGGTGTGACGGACCGCGTTGCAATCGTGCATGCAAGGAGGTCTCGCCAGGTTGTCTTTGGTAAATAATAGCACCTAGCAGGATGCAGTTCCCGCCAAGTAAACTGGAGAGGCTGAGCAGAAAATGGCCAAACCTACCACGAAAACGCGCAAAAGCGGTTTTATACCACGATTTGGTCCACATCTTCACAAAGCTGAGGGTGGGGGGGAGGGGGGGGGGGGCGGGGGAGATGAGGGAAGCTGGGGCCCCCAGCTGACTGAAAGACTACACCCCCGGCACATGTAGCGGACAGCGGGTCCGGGCAACAGTGACTGCATGTAACGGCCGGTACTCACTTGGGGTGCTCCTACGCCCCACAAGGTGGTAGTTTCGGTGTTGGTGCGATAATTTAAAAGGTGAGCGTTTGTGTACATAATATCGTCCTGTATGAACTAATGCACCTGTGGCTGCATTACTCCCACTTCCATTGGCATTTTCAGTCGCGTTGTTTTTCTTCAAGAGCGTTCTGCATTTTGTGGGGATTCTAAAATGAAATAGCCATCGTTAAGATCATTCTGGGTATTTCACAGCCCTGCACTTTATAGGGCCTAAGCCCCTCCAGTTTCCGAGTCACACACCCGCGAAAATGTGCAGACTATTCCGGGAGGTTATTTCAAGGCTACCCAGACATCCATGACGCCTAATGACGTCGTTGAAGTCCTGCGATTGCGTTACCCATACGACGATCAAGGCCGAGACGACCACAATCGTCGAATCGTTCATATCTGATGTTCGTGAGCACGATTTTCAGGTATAACAACCGCTAATTGGCTTTCAATCAGTGTTATGCAAGGCGCGATGACGCAATCAAACAATGAGGCATTAAGAAGCATGTTTCTTGGCGGAAAATGATGCTGTCCAGATCAGTATTTTCCACTGAAAAGTTAACCAATAGTTATAAGAAAGCTTATTTCATCACATCTGATGCTTGCTTCATTACCTTCAAATGTATGCAGGCTGAATGCATCAGCCACGAGCGGGCCGAGAGGCTCCTGAAGGGGGACCCCGACCGGGCCCCCAGCGTGCACCCCGCAGACGGGTCCCTGTGAGGACTAAGGTTCGACGGTGGGCCCCCCAGACGCATGCAGCGCTGCCTCAACGTTGTCCCTTCTCCTTCATCTCACTGACCTGAAATTATCATTTCTGGTCGAAAAGGCTCTAACCCAAGTAACCAAATCGAGGCGTATTAGAAATATCACCTAAATCGCGCGCCCAATCATCTAGCTCCGGCGTCTGACATAACCTAAACTGCCAGAAATCAGCGGTGTCCGTCCCCGTTGTCGTGCCGAGAGGGAAGTTGCTAAGGTTATTGTCGGCGTCGCGTGCCTATCGTGCCTCGATCCTTCCAGAACTCAGTCGTGAGCGCTGCACCCCTCCACACACTCAGCAGAGGCATGATGTCTCCACATTGTTTTTCACTGTTCCATGTCTGATGACATGTGAAGAGCAGGCAACAATCTATCACCGTTGTCTGTACAACTGACCACACCACGTGACTACGAATTGCCTGCTTTATCGAACGCTGTTGTTCGTTGCGAAACGAACACAAGAGACGGATCTTCGAAAATCGAATAGCTATAAACTGTCATGAGACAAATGTTAATGGCCTCTTTACAGTGTTGAAAGTTTTGAAACTGTCGCTTTTTGGATAAAACATTGGCTAACTTTAAAAACTTTTGATATTGTTAAACGTTTACTGCTACTTGTGCCATGACTTGAGACATTGACGTGGCCCAAATTTACACTGCGCTGAATAACCTTCAACTTATTGAATCGAATGATTGTAAGTTATGCTGAAGTCATCTGTAATGCTTGCATGCCTTATGGTAATGGGAAGAAGCGTGTCTTTGAATACTGAGGATATGGTCCGATTTCACCAGTTTGAAGATGATCAACTAGATATGATTATGAAAGGATTTCAACCAAATCGTACGAAACAGCCTGCAAAAGGTGTAACACCGACATTTCTGCTCTATACTTAAAACAGGAGAACTTATCTGGATGACGTAAAGCCCAGCACAACTGGCAAATTTATGTCAGGTTTTACCCCGGGTTGAAAAATCAAAACGGTAATCTGTACAAGAGGAAAGTTTTCGAAACTCTAAGCCCTGAGATTACCTTACAGACCACTGTCGCTCTCAGCTTCGTTTTGCTGAACAGCGTTCGTCTCGGTCACCTCATTGGGCGTCAGTGACGTCATCCGCGTTCAACAAGCTACCACTGTTGCCCGCTGATCGATGCAGCAATCATGGACATAGTTCTGCGGATAAGATGCTGCTGCCTGGCAGGTCGCATTTTTAAGGGCGGGCAGCACTTTACCGCTGGCGTCTGCGCCGCTGTCCAAGGTCACGTGGCCACTTCAATGACTTGTTTATCAAACACTGTTGCCTGTTGCCAACCAAACGCAGGAGGCAATTTTCGGAAAATCAAACAGCTGTAGGCTGTGCCTTAACCAGGGTTACTCGATCTACGATTACTGTAACCACGGTCACTCGGTTACTCGTTCCCCGGCTGTAACCAACTCTGAAAGCTTTGATTTCACTCACAGTGGTAACGGAGTTCACCTGTCATTACATGCTGGGGACAGGTTCAGACTCAACTTGTTTAACGATGATGAGCTGGATAATATTCTAAACGGCAGTCACACGAGCCAGAAGCGGCTGTGATACACGAGAATTAGCGGCGTGGGAATATTCCAGCAATTGCAGAGTTGCAGTAATAACTTAGTGGCTGCAATGTAATCCATAACTACTACCACTAGACGCGTAATGACATCAGTAACATGTCCAGGTTATTGTTTGTATGTAATTTTATGTCATATCATGTGCCGTTATGAGTAAGTTAGATCTATACAACTCAGATCTATGTAACAAAACAAATGAACAAGTGAAACAAATAAAACAAAACACACCCAGAGAGTCAGCGGACACAAATCTCTCCAGCCGCTGGGAGACTACATCTACCGCGTGTCCACCATCTCGGTATCCACTACCTCTAGAGATCTACGTAAAAATGTACTACGCATGCCAAAGAGCGCTGCCACCTTCAGCTCGGTCAACTTATCAGCCTCCGGTGACGTCATCTGCGGTCACTCATCTACCACTGTAGTCTGCTAATCGATGCAACATCCGCACACTGTTTGCCGTAGGTCATTAGCGTGACCATTACACGTGTGAGGTCGTCCTTCTCGTTAGCTCAGTCGGTTAGAGCGCATGCCTTCCGATCCACCCACCCGTGGTTGAGTGAGTTGAAGGAGGTATGTTGCTACTTAGCATGGTTTCATGAATATGGACATGTTTAGCTAAAATAGTGTATTTTTAGGGGGAAATGTACATTTGACCTGGCATGACGGTTTCAATTAATGACGTAGCAACGTGCAACTTATTACCAATCATGAAACCCCGTTAAGACCAATCCACTGTTGTAGTCCGCAAGGCTGTCTTTTCCTGAGTTTCGAAGTGGCAGGGCTGGCATCTACCCTCCCCCCTATCAGTCCTGGTGATGAAAAAGGACGAGACAGAGCGAGGGTTTACTGGACCCGCTGGTCGGCGGAACCGACCTCTACCTCACCCGTGATGTGGCCGTTTTCGCATCCAGCCTGTTACATGACACCCGGAGCGCCTGCTGCTGGTGCCTGGTCCGGTGCAGGCGTAAGAAACTCGTCCAACGGGGACCAACGAAACCACTGAGGGACTACAAAATAATGACCATGCGTCCTCGAGAACGTGCAGGCATTTGTGCGCTTTGTGTCTCCGACGTTTTGGGTGGTATTAGTGCTATATGGATCGCGCCGAAGCGATCACTGGAGGATGGGGCGCGATGTCTCCAAAATGGCATGAAAGCTCCACCCGTGCAATGAGTGCTTTCAGGAAAAGAGATGGGCACACGTCTCCAATACTTCGAGGTTTTAAAATATTGTATAATGACAATCAGTTCGCACATCTTACTGCGATGACTTGAGGCCCCGAACATGGTTTCTTATCTAAGAAAAGTATTGCTGTCAAGCTGTGCCTGGCATGGTGGAAATCCGTTTCCTATAGCCATAAGCTACAGAGCGAGCAGCTTGAATTACATCTGGTGTCACTTCCGTGTCATCTGGTGTCAAATATCTACGTTTGGGGCAAATTAATGTTGTTCAGGGAAAAATACTTCATTACATGAGAAGCAGTGTATCAGAAGTCCCAGCTCATCCGTGCGGATGCGGAACGCATTATTAACATATGCCTACGCGTAAATGTTCAGAAAATGGGCTAACGACTCCATGGCAACAAAAAAGCTTAGTATTGCACAGTTTTGCATACAGTTGCAGCAAATATCAATAATGATATTAAGATTCTATAGGTTGCGCCATTTGGAAGCAAAGTGCCCAAAATTAATCATCGGAGACGTTGTGCCATCAGCCCATTGTATAGCCATAACGTTTTAATGTTTTCATGATTACAACGTCTGAAGAGGGGCTGCATGCTAAAGGCCAGATCAACTGTTTGGTTCTTTTTAACAGTTAAAGTCGACAGCGGTTCCCAGAATCAAAAGATATCATGGGGTTTCCTTTCTAACGTAGCTTGAGTGCCCCCTCCCCCTAGGACCAGCGTTCTAATGCGGTCGATAATTTGGGCCGTAAGGTTACGGTTTAAGGTGGAACTTTTAAAACCCATTGTAGGGCCTGGTGGAATTTAGGTGAATAATTGTGTAAAACACCCGTAAGCTCCGTGCAGTTGACACGTTTGCCATCTTCCAGTCGCTCGTGGAGGGAGTCAAAACCACCTTGAATGTCTCCAGAACCAATAACCTGATCGGAGTGAATCGGACGTAATAAGACATCCCTGGATCTTGCGACCGTCACATATATAAGTTTGTTGGCTGCCTGCACAAGTTTGCTGAAATTGCATGCCACTGATGGCGTCACAGGTGGGCCCAATGGTCACGAGTTTTGCTTTAGAGTACTACCAAGTGACATGTTCAATCGGGCTCATCATAATACCACGACGGGATGAAACTAAAATAGCTAAATCAAGCTGGATGCTACAACATAGACGCACGGGTATGTGCGCTTAAGTGAGTAGTACCTCCTCCGATCAGATCAGGCTGAAATATTTGGACCAAGGCCGTATAAGATTTGGACTGCTTCGCCGTCAAAAATGCCGGCGCCTATCGTATTACTAAGGTACGGACATGTGATATGGTAACTTTTTAGACTTGCCAAGCTCATTATTGTATAACCTATTTCATATATTGCCATATGCTCGGCTACCCTTAGAGTTGAAATATGGCTTCAGCCTCACTGCAAAACACAACATCCGTTTTATGACCAGTTTGTTTGGGCAGTGCATGAATCGCCTCTTTACGTGATGGCTACATGGTCACCCTATTGGACATTTAGTTAACGTGACCCAGAATGACATTTATATTGAAGGGCCCTCTATAGTTAAGGGGCAAAAATGCTGGTCCTGCAATGTGAACCTCGGCAAACTTTTCAAGGAAATACGCTCTGTATATTAAGGAAGGCCAAATTAATCTGGTTTGTTTATCCTCAGTTAATTATTTCTCAGAATTTATAATTCAAGAACGCGGCCGTCGCTATCTTGAATGCGTGCCAATTTTGCTTTTCACAGCCATCGTCACTATGTACACCCAGCTTCCTTAATTCTCTTTGATGTTCATCTACTCGCTGGCACAACCGCTGTAGCATGCAATTTCTTCCTCGCACTTGCAGAAGTCTTTACGCCAAAGGCCTGCGCTGTTGCTGCTGCAACTGCAGCGGGCAGCGCTACTTGCCTTGCCTTTCGCAGAGCAGGTGCAGGTCACTACACCCAGCAGCACCTCGGGGGTAACTGGCGCTGTTGAGACGGCCAGTATGATGGTGGAGACCTCGACGCTCCAACCGAAGTTGGCAATGTCTCTAGCTCTAGTTGATGTCATCTTCATCGGGAGGGGGGGGGGGGGAGGAGGTGGGGAAGGTCTCATTGGTCCACTGCCTTCCATGGCATCATCCGGAGATTATCTCGGAACGCGTGCAGCTGTGGGTTGGCATTAGTCGGCGGCATCTTCTATGTGAGGAAAGGCTCCTTATTGCATAGAAAGGAACGAGCACGTGCATCATTCGTTGCCATATAGCCCCGATGTTCGTAAGCGGTCGAAAATAGTGTTTCACATTTCAAAAGGCAAACAAGCATCAAATGTGATGAAATGAGCTCACTGGTAACTAAAGGTTTGTTTTGAATTACAAGACTGCTCTAGACCACACAATTCACTTTGTACTATATATGATCCTTAATATGTCATTTTTTGTTGTATCATGAAACGTCTTTATGACGTCAGTCGCTACCAGATTGGCCATGTCAGAATTGCCACTGTAGCGGATAGACTGACTCACTTGTGGTACTCAAACTTATCGGGAGGTGTCGTAATAATCGTTGCGCTGTTTGCAGAACGCAAATATCGTTACGTGTGCCTGCTTTTCCCTTTCTCGTGGTGCTTCTGCATAAATGTCCGTGATTTTATATCGTTTACTTGTTCAAACCCCCATATGCATGTTATTTAAGTTCAAACCCCCCTACAAATGTGAAACCCTCTGTTCAAGTTATCTGGTTCCCAGTTTTATTTCCGTCGCAACTCGCACCAATGTCCAAGTTTCTGTACTGCATGGAATGTAACGTGATTTGCGCTCAAAGCTTGCATGAAACGCAAAACGCGTTGCCTGAGTACGCCAGACACAAATAGTACAATGATAATATTTTCGTGGCCTTGAGCTGTACGTGGCCAATAGGTAGCAGTATTCGCAGAACGTTTCTATGGTCTCAAAGCATTCGCGTGACGTTTTTATAAGCTGCGAAACCGAAGGATTTTAAAGCTTACAAAGGACGGACGGCGCTAAATATTTCTCGGGTTCATCCCCCAATAGATCTTTAAATGGCTACCCCAGTTCAAAATTTCATACAAATGTGGAATGTTCTTTTTAAGACGAATCTGTCTGCTGGTACTTTAAACTGAGCGTGGGTCACACCGGGCTTTATGAGTTCTTAACTGGTATGTTTATGTCTAGTAGCCTGAACGTCGAGTGTTGTCCTTTTACGAAGGGATGCGTCACCGTATCGCGTGGACACCCAGGAGCAGGCTACACTTTCTGGAACCAAGCCTCTCTATAGTTTCTTTGACATCAGGGACATCCCCAGCCCATATTTTCATTTAAGTCTTGACAACGACCAGCATCCTCGATGCGAAGTGCAACCAAAAGGTGTATAAAATATTCCGCCGGCCTAGTGAGAATGGCAATATTTTGGGCACCATCAACCACAGTTTTCACATGTAGCTGCATGTAAGTGCAGCCGGTAGCATCTGCCAAAGCAGGTGTGACGACACCATCCAACTTTCTGACGAGCTGGGTATTATGTGGAAGGGTAGCCGGATAAGATACCATTGAAGACACTTTTGTCCCTGACATTGTAAGAACAGCTCATCGGCATGAAAGGGAAAAGAGTCAGGTGCACTTCGTTGGCCCGTCATCACAAACTTACAGGACACTGCTTGTCTTCAGCTACCGCTGTCGGGACCGGACCAAACGAAGCCGGCGGCCGGAGGGCTACCGGCAGAGGAGGCAAACGCCCAGACAGATGACGCCCTTGCTGTGAGTTAAACCTTCTGGGGACGTCACGGGTATGTCTACGGGCGGCCCGACCAAGCAGATGTCCCCAGTTGGACCAAGTTTTTCGCCCTTCGGAAGTGATCGTCAAAGACGCGTTTTTGCGTCACCCAGTGACAATCCCCACTTCGTATCAGTTGTTCGTGCGGTCCCGATTTGTTCCCAAATCTCTGGGGCTCACGACAGACCACAGCCTACGAGCCAGAGCTCACCACGCCGTTGCTATAATAGCTTGCAGATCACAACGCGTGAACATCTCTCAACACAATTGGTTTCACTGGAGTGAATATTCTGAGTGGTTTCCATAATGACATTAGTGCAAAAGTTGATTTCGTTGATTTCGAAAAGTTTCGGTTTACAAGGGGCTTGAAATCTATCGGGTACATAACACTAATCGGAAGCTGCATGAACCAAAAGATGCTGATTGTCATTTGGAAATGCCATTTCGTCGTCATTTCGGTTGTTAACCAAATTCTGCTTTGGCAGGATGACGGTGAACCTCCACGGCAACGATGGGGAAACCGAGTCGAGTTTCTGCTGTCCTGCATCGCCATGTCCGTGGGCCTTGGGAACGTCTGGAGGTTTCCATACACGGCCTACAAGAACGGCGGTGGCGCCTTCCTGATACCCTACGTGATCGTCCTATTGACGATAGGTGGGTTGACTGGCAGGTCTGTTATATTACTTCAAGGTGTTAGAAGGCAAAATCGCGAGCGAATTTCTGAAACAACGTTTAGCGAAACGAGTATAAACCCCATTACCAATTATTAGTGCCCTCGTTTTATTGCTGTAGCCACACATGATCTAGCGTGTGTGCTTTGCTGCCAGGCAAGCCGTTGTACTACATGGAGCTGGCCTTGGGCCAGTTCTCGGCCCACGGCAGCGTGCGCGTGTGGAGCGTCGTCCCCGCCGTCAGAGGTGAGAGATCGCGTGGTCGGGGCGTGGCCGACCACCTCCGTGCCCGCATGCCGTCTGGACGCATTTAGTCAGACTGTCCCCGGAGACTGATGGCCCGCAGAGCGTCTGGACCGTGACAGGTCTGTCGGTCTGTACCTGGCCTGTACCAGGTCTGTCGTATTGTGTCGGTTCTGCACCAGGTCTGTCAGTCCGTACCGCGTCTGTGCCACGTCTGTAGGTCTGTGCCAGGCCTGTGCCAGGCCTGTCAGTCTGCACCAGGTTTTTGCCAGGGTTTTGTACCAGGTCTGTCAGTTTGCACTAGGTCTGTACCAGGTCTGTCGCTCTGCGCCAGTTCTGTACCAGGTCTGTCAGTCTGTACCAGGTCTGTACCAGGTCTGTATCAGGTCTGTCACTCTGCACCAGGTCTGTACCAGGTCTGTATCAGGCCTGTCACTCTGCACCAGGTCTGTGCCAGGTCTGTACCAGGTCTGTCAGTCTGTACCAGGTCTGTGCCAGGTCTGTATCAGGCTGTCACTCTGCACCAGGTCTGTGCCAGGTCTGTATCAGGTTCACCAGGTCTGTACAGGCCTGTCACTCTGCACCAGGCCTGTCACTCTGCACCAGGTCTGTGCCAGGTCTGTACCAGGTCCGTACCAGGTCTGTATCAGGCCTGTCACTCTGCACCAGGTCTGTGCCAGGTCTGTACCAGGTCCGTACCAGGTCTGTATCAGGCCTGTCACTCTGCACCAGGTCTGTGCCAGGTCTGTACCAGGTCCGTACCAGGTCTGTATCAGGCCTGTCACTCTGCACCAGGTCCGTACCAGGTCTGTATCAGGCCTGTCACTCTGCACCAGGTCTGTACCAGGCCTGTCACTCTGCACCAGGTCTGTGCCAGGTCTGTCAGTCGTCCCCGGGAGCAGTAAGAATGCCGGGCACTGCAGGCACTCCACCGCCCCCATTGACCTTCAGACTGGTTCGGCTCTGCCGGTGCCACCATGACGTAAACACATCGTGGTGGACCTGGCCCGCGTATAACATATTCCACGCCACCGCTTCTAGTGTTGGGCCTGTGTATATGAAGTTAAGACAACAGAGAGCATTCGCAACCATTCCATGCAGACTGTGAGATAATTTTGGACGTGGATCAGACAGCATGATGTGAAGGAGTTCAAAGTGGTCATTTATTCATGCCTGTAGTGCCCGCGTTGCCAAGCTGATCTGTGGACACATCTCTTGGCCGGGTCCCCTGGCTTGGTGACGCATCTCTTAGCCGGGTCTCCTTGCTCGGTGACGCATCTCTTGACCGCGTGTCCTCTGGCTCGGTGACACATCTCCCAGCCGGGTCCCCTGGCTCGGAGATGCATCTTTTGACCGCGTGTCCTCTGGCTCGGTGACACATCTCTTAGCCGGGTCCCCTGGCTCGGTGACGCATCTCTTGACCGCGTGTCCTCTGGCTCGGTGAACATTTGGGAACATTTTCATTGTTCAGAACATTTTGGTTTGGCAAAGGCAAGGGCGTGATGAGTTTCTGGCATGTACCGTACTGAACAGTGCTGCTCTAATATCGCTGCCCTGCTTATAGATTCCTCTCGGCCTGCCCTCTGGCGCGGGCGGAGCCGCCGAGGGTTCGGGAGCTTTTTGCGAGCATTATCGTATGCCACTGCTCTGTTATTGCGGCTCTGGGTTCCGGATCGCCGCTCTCTGGCCGTGATCAGTCGCTAGGAATGCAATAATCGCGACGCGGATTATTCCCCACCAACTCAGGCCTTTCTCAGCTGGCGGCGGGAGCCGGAGTCCGCTGAGTCGGGGCGACACAGCCGGAGCTAGGGAGCAGGGCTGTCGGGGAGCCGGGGTGGGCACTCGGCACGGAATAGCCGGAGTGGGGAGCCGGGGAAGCCGGGCGAGCCGGGGGAGTCGGGGGCCGGAGAGCCGAGTGAGCCGGGTGGGCAACCCAGCACGGGAGAGCCAGGACTGGAAAGTCCGAACGGGGGAACCGGAACGGAGAGACGGGCTAGCGAAGCCGGGACTGGCGTAATCGGGGGGAGGGGGGGGGGGGGGGGGCAGCCGGCACGGGAAGGGGGCGGGGGGGGGGGGGGCGGAACGGAGGCAGCCGGTACAAAAAGCCGAACAGAGGCGGCCGGCGGACGGCCACCGGGGGCCGGCGGACCGTCCGCGAGCTGGCGCGAGCTGGCCGCCGGCCACCCTCCCCGGCCGACCGCCACCCTCCCCAGCCGGCCGCCACGTATCGACCATGGCAAACAGACTGGCCCGGCGGCATACGTCCAGCGCTGGTCTCTTTTCTGCCCGGGTAAACGGAATGCAGTGGTCCGCTGTCCACCCGTCTGTTTATGGAGCGACCCGCATCTGGAGGTCTATGCTGGGCGCCAGCTGGCCCTCTGCCCGCGCGCGCAACACGCCTGCCAGCGCTGGGGTTGTGCTGGCAGTAACATCACGGTCTCAGTTACCTAAAGCTCATACGAATGTGCTTGCCAATAGTTGTGTTGATTTTGTTGGCGAGACTTGTTAAGATCTGTGAGATTTGCCAGCCATTTGTACCTGATCCTTGGTATCAACTAATTGATTATCTTTTTTCGTACCTTCATCTCAGCTGTCCGTGCTCAGTTCCAGTTAACCTCGTACAAGGCTCAGCTGCAGAAACGCGTAGCAGGTTCAGAAACCGAACCATGGTCCGTTTTCACTTTCACTCCCTGTGCTCGTGCCGACTACAGGGGCCGATGGTCTGACACTCCGCTCTGATAGTGCTGCCTTTCAGGCGTCGCAGCCGAACAGGAAAAATGCCAGCTATGAGATAGGCAATGAATCATCATAGGCAACATCACGAAAGAATCACATCGCCTCAACCTTTTTATTTGATTGTGCATTGTTACGGGTTCAACAGATCGCGGACGTATTGCATTCGCTCCCGCAATCCATTCAACCGACCATATTTGAGGTTTGGCGTGGGCATGCCGTTTACTTAAAGGGATTTAGGAATGAGTCCAATTCGTTTTTAAAGGGAATTTACGTATCTTTGCACTGCACCGTCCCTCTAAGCCGCGGTGTGTGCAGAACCGGCTCTCGAACAGCACCGCCTCTGTCCGCCGACAGTGTCTGTCCACCGGCAGTGTCTGTACAGTACTGCCCCTGTCCACGCGGCTGTGCCCGTACAACACTGCCTCTGTCCACTGACAGTGTCCTGTCCACCGGCAGTGTCTGTACAGCACCGCCTCTGTCCACCGACAGTGTCTATATAACACTGCCTCCGTGCATCGACAGTGTCTGTGCAACACCACCTCTGTCCACCAGGTGTGGGATACGGCCAGATGATCGCCACCTCGGCCGTGGTCTCCTACTACGTGGCGCTGATGGCGCTGACCGTGTTCTACTTCTTCGCTTCGTTCGCCACGGTGCTGCCCTGGACGCAGTGTGACCCGAGTTGGGCCGACATGACACGCTGCGTCGACCCCAGCACCAACGTGTCGCTGCTCAACGGCAGCGAGCCAATGGGCGCCACCGAGATGTACTTCCAGTGAGTGCACGCGCCGCTGTGCGGGCGCGACACCACCTTGCGCACTGCTGAGGGATGTCGTGACTCTGCTCTGTAAAGTCTCGTTGGGTGGCCAACGTTTGCCCTGCATTGCCTCCCGCTTGGTAAATTTACACTTTTCTAGTTTTTGATAAAGCAGCTATGTGCTGTTTGTAGAAGCTTATGCAATTTAACGGAGAATCAGCGAGGTTCTGGGGTTTTCTCGTGATCCTTGAAATGAACTATGCACTGTGGTGTATTTGCTCAATTTTCCAGACCGCAGGCAATTATCGCTACAGTATTGCTTTATTTGACTAACGCGTCATTACAAGCGCTTTACGTCCTTCATCAGTCAGGTTTCATTAGGTCTGTCATTATAATTGCTGTTCGCACCGCCTTGAAAACATTTTAAAACGAAACGCTAATTCCCAGTTCTGAAAGTGCTGTCGTGCATTAGTCAACTCAGCTCCAGCTTCGGATGTTGTGCCAGTTTTGGTTATAACGTCATGGTATTGGAAGAAATTGATACCCGAAGAAGCTTTCCACTGCGTTTTTCAATAGCTAGGAAATTTGTCAGCACAGAAGAAGTTGCTTGACCAGCGACCACGATGAAGTGCACAGCTTGATTTGTACGCACTTACTTCCTTTGAAGCTGTAGGAGTAGATACGGTAACGCTTCCACGATAGGGCCTTAGCTTCGGTGAGTGTTGCGAAGGGTGCTGCCGCGCTGTCACGGGTCGCCAGGGCCCGCCTGTAAAACAGTGAGAGGGCGCAAAAGCCCGGGCATCCTGTGGCCCTCAGACGCATGTTGGCGGGACTGGTGGGCGGCAGGATATAGGATCAGTCTGCCCCACGGCGCTGCTTCTCCCCAATGGTGTGCAGGTTACTTGGCAGGGGTCGCATGTGGTCAAGTCGCACGCGGGAGCTTAAATTTTAGCCCTGCTATTTGCCATCGTATTTCTGGCACATGATGGCCTCTGCGATGAAACGAGACAAGAATCGGAAGCTGTTGGCACCGCTGCCTCTGTGCGAGAGCTCGGACCCAGTGGTTTGTTCCCGTCTGTCATGCAGCATCGGCGAAAGCCCATCACACCCACCTGGCGCTGCTGGCCTCTGGCAAGTTTCCTTCTCTCTGGAGATATAGATGTGAGGCCAGCACCAGCACACGGAGAGCGATACGAGTGTTTTGCAGAACGTCTGCAGTCTGAAGAACAAGTTATGCGCTCAGCGCTCTCATGGTGGTGAACGGGCTGGCTGCGGTGTTGTCGGCCTGACCGAGACATGGCTCTGACCACGCGTGCTAAATTCTAAGCTACAGCTGGGCCTCTCAGGCCACGTCTGGTTCCGGAAGGACAGGAGCAGCAGAGCGGGAAGCATTGCCTGCGCAGTGAAGACAAGCCCGTCCCCTGCTCACCGATGACACCTGTGGCCCGGCTGCGAGGTGCTGGCGATCCAGTTGGGGACCATCTTCCCTGCCATCATGACTGTCTGCTGCCGTGTGTCAGATCCTGACCGTAACGTAGATTCGATCGCTGCCTTCTTGCCGAATATCTTCTCCGCCAGTCTGCCCGTTTCTCATCGTGGGTGACTTTAACATACTCGAGATTTAGAGGCCGGGTACTGAGACACGCCGTCAAATTTATAGACTGTCGCTGAGTGTGAAGCTGTGAAGCTGTGAAGCACTGTGACGTCACCAACGCGCGCGGAAGACATTCTGGACCGCGCCATCCTCTACAGCTGAGCTGCCGTAACGTGAGGTTGGCGACGGTTTATTCAGCTCTGACCCTCAGAAGGTAGTCCGGGCGTACATGGGGCTGAAAGCGATTTGCGAGGAAATCAACTGTTCAGCAGCTCTTGTCTTGCAGCCTTTTCAAGACCTTTGGGATGCAAACAAAGGCGACATTGGAATGTTTTAGGTGCATTTGCACTTACATCTCATAGTGTAAAGGCGGTATCCTGACTCATAGCTGTTCCTACAGTTCGGCTTAATGTTGTCTCCGACGTGTGATTTCCGGCAAAAGAGTGATTGCGGTGATTCAGCCAGCTACCTCCACAGCACCTCTCTAACCTCTCGTGGGTCTGGCAGCCATGACGGACGGCGCGACGCAGCTGTGAAGTGGATCACATTCCAGTTCGGCGACCTGTGGCGGACGTCAACTGTCGCTGTTTGGAGCCTTATCGATCACCGCACGCGAAGCAATCTGTCCGCAAAACCCCATAGCGCGGCGGGATTCAGAGGCCACAGCTTGCGCCATCTGCTCCATGATGACTGCATTCTATACGTTTGTAAACTTGGTTCGACCGTGCAACCATCGCCAGCATCAGACAATGGTCAGCTCCTGGCTGACTGGCCTGGTTCTGCAACACGAGGAGCGCCCACGCGGGCCTTGTCAGCGCGGTCGCCATGGCAACGCTCCGGCGACGCCGCTCGGTGGGCGGCTGGGCGCATAGTCCTGGGCAGCCAACGCCGGCAGCGGGAACCAGCCGCTCAAGGACCGCGCTCCGGCGCTAGATCAGTCAGCCGCTCGTTGGTCGGCAGGGTCCAACCCTCCGCCCCTGGCAGAGACGTGACTAAAACACGCCTGTCAACATGAACCGCTAAACGGTTCGCTTTTTGAGCCAGGAGCAAATGACTTCATATGACCGGGGCAGTCCGGGCGCGCCCCAAAAACCCAATCAATCTTGGAACCAGGATTGGGTATGTCGCTGTGCCCTTCAGTCACTGAGACGAGGCACAAATTTACGTGAAATTGCGGCGATCCCACATTAATGTCCATTACGATTACAACAGCCGGTTGCATGGACTCGACAGACTCTAAAGACATCCTAGTGGTGCCAATGATTAACAGAATAGAGAGCTGTCACATGAGGCTAAGTGTCAAAGAAAACCTGACGAGAAATAATGAACAACAACGAAAGTGATAAGAATTCCTCGTCTGGTGCACGGTGACATACCGTGCGCTTGTGTACATGCGGGCACGGATATGGATTTGGGTGGCGCGAGTGCGTGCGCTCACCGATGCTTGCTTTCGTGCGTATATTTCACTTTCTTGGGCCAATCTGTTTCAAAGTAGCGGGGTTAGTGGCCGCAATTTTCCAGCCCACTGAGAGTTTGTGAAGTTTCTCTCCTAAAACAAACCATAGCGAGTCAGGAAACTTAAATGAGAAGTTGGCGAGAAGTGGAGTTGGTCTTCCTGCAAAATCTCACTCTGTAACTATATTAGGGCTTTGGGGTAGAGCAAAGTTAACGATTAAAACAACACTCAGACACGTCATAAAAGCAACCATAAAGTGGGTAAATGTCACCACAGCAGGCCTGATGAGTTACACCTGTGCTGTAAAACAGCGGCGTCCACTTTAGTAGCATGTGGAAGCATCTATTTTATGAGACGTATATCCTCCTGTACAAAATATGGCAATCTGCATTTCGTAAATTATTTACTAGGTAAATTCCTGCACAAATGGGCTGAAAACGCCTGTCAAAATGGTCACTGGGGTATGAAACACGTCCTGTAGTGATGGATGAGGCTGGGCGGCACAAGAGTAAACAGCCATCAGTGGTGGGTTGCCCTAGGGTCAACAGCGGTTATTGGGTCGCTGCCAGAAGGCAGTTGATGGCAAAATACCTTCAGACATGAGCGCACGTGACGCTGGTGGGAGGTGACGCCTACCACAAGGGGAAAGATTATATTATAAACATTTTGAGCATCTGCTTGCCGAATTGGTTTATTTTGGCTGAGGTTTTAGAGAGAGAGAGAGAGAGAAGAGAGAGAGAGAGAGAGAGAGAGAGAGAGAAGAGAGAGAGGGGAGAGAGAGAGATATTAATATACATATACAAATATGATATAAATATAAATATAAATGATATAATAAATACATATATATAATATATATATATATATATATATATATATATATATATATATATATATATATATATATTACACGTATGTGTGTGTGTGTGTGTGCAAAAACTTTTATCTATCTTTATCTTCTCTTTCTTTCTCCCTCACTCTCTCTCTCCCTCTCTTTCCTTCCCTCTCCTCCTCTCTCCCTCTCTCTCTTCTCTCCTCTCTCTCTCTCTCTCTCTCTCTCCTCTCCTCTC